GTCCATCAGCTGCCTCCTGCATGCCCCTTCCCGAGGATCAAGCCCACAACCCAGGCATGTGCCCTGACCAGGACTCGAACAGGAGACCTTTTGGTGCATGGGACAAAAGTGTTGACTCAGCCAAATGAGCCACACCAGGCAAGGACAAGATTTTTAGATCATGAGGAGACTGTGGATTTGTTGACACATGAGGCCAAGTCTTAGAATAATCCAGACAGAAGGCAGAGGGCATCTGGGTTCATCCTCTGCATACCCTTTTTCTCTCATTGATATAGTTTCCCTGCTGTTAAGCACAGTGGTGCTTTCTTGCTAAAGACCAAGAATCCTTTGGCAAGTACAGCATAGCTGCCCGGGGACCCTTGCATTTGGCTAGCATTTCTTCTTGATTTAAATGTTAATTCTATAGTATTCAGCAGAATATCTGATGTTGAAGTCTATAGCAGTGGTTTCCAAACTTTATTGTGCATCAGAATCACCTGCAATACTTATTGGAACAGATTTCCGAGCCCCACTCTGGAGACTGATTCAGTCCCTGTGAGCTGAAGTCCTAGGTTCTACAGTCCAGTCAAGCTCCCAGGTGATGCTGACGCTACTGGTCCAAGGACTACACTGTGAGTAGCTCACAGTGCTGCTCAGGTCCTAGTTTACAGGAACCAAATGAGGTTGGATATAAAAGCAAAATTATCAGCAGTTTTCTGAGTAGACATCTGAATACTGAATTGTGTAGACCATAATAATAATAATAATGACTTTCAGAAAAAATGATCTCCTGGTTTTTGACATTTTGTTAGGAATGGGCAGTGAGTCCTCTGGTTGTGGGAGAGCAGTGGACTGGAACCTGGGAGGCCTTCCTTCCGGGAGCTCTTCTTCCAAGGTCTTAGAGAAACTTTCTTCTGTGTGACCTTCAGGACATGAGTGTATTTTGTTCCTGAAGTTACTCTAGGGGAGGATGCTGCATAAAATTGATCAGTTTCTCATCTCGATATAAATGTAAATGAAAAAAGTTTTCAAAATGAAAGCATTCCATAATATAATAAGGAATGTGGTCAAGATACAAGAAGGTGATTTCACATTTTCCCTTGTTTAGAAGCTAAAAGATACTTGCATTTTTACTAGATTCAAAATGTTGTGAGTCATGCAGATCAACACATTTCTTTTTCACAGGAATCCTTTGTGTTTGAACCCAACTGCCTCTTCAAAGTGGATGAATTTGGCTTCTTTCTAACCTGGAAAAGTGAAGGCAAGGTATGACCCAGGAAACAAGTTGTTCTTTCCTGCCGTTCCGGTGAAACCATTTTATTTCTTGACGAGTAGGCGAGGACATCTTGAGGGCATGGACCTATGCTTATTCATGCATTCGGGATTTCTGGAAATGTGCTTCCAGTGCCAGGCATTGGGGATACAGTGGCAATCAAGGACATTATCCTAGCCCTCACTGATTCCAGTCTAGGAGCAAAGTCAGGCATTAAAAATAAAGGTACAAGTTATTGAATGTTGTGAAAGGAAAGGTCAGGCTGTTACAGGAGCTTAAGACGGGCAGGTGGGATTTAATCTTGGGAATTAGAAAGGTTTCCCAGAAGAAGAGCTGTTGAAGCTGAAATCTCAGAGGTGCATCAGGAGCACATTCATCTGGTTCTATCGCGGGATTTAACTCCACGCATGGCACAGCATACACATTTAATGAACCTTTCAGCTGAACTGAAGAAAAGTAGAAGTGGAGATGCATATAAGTTAGTGTTATCCCCACTTAACATTTCATGTACACCCGTATATTTAATGCTACACATCCATTAACATTATATGTAGGAAAGGAACAGCGTTTTATAAATAATTATTCACACTTGCATTCGTGTGTTTATGTGTGTGTATGAGAGAGAAATGGAATGTTTGGTTGACTATTTCTGGTTGGTACAAATTACTGTTTTCACTCCCTCTCCACTCTAATCAGCACTGTCTTTATCATCACACACATTGGCTAAGTAGCTCGCCTGTGCCAGGGGCCTGGCAGCGCTGAGGCTCACTGCCTTCTTCTCTCTCTCCAGGAAGGACAAGTGCTGGAATGCTCCCTCATCAACAGCATCCGCGCGGGCACCACCCCCAAGGTACCGGGATTGGTGTTTGCTGCTCTTCTAAACACAGACTCACTCAGACTGGAAGTGGTCTCCCGAAGTTTAACCTGTCGCTGTCCCCAGTTGCTGCCCCCGAATCATCAGCTGGGAACTAAGAACAGATAGCATTTAGAAATCTTATCTATGACTGCTGGGTGATTTGGACTGCATCGTGTTTAGTTATATGAGAAGTGTTATTAACCCTTGAAAGCAGAGACCCTTGCACGATACCAGCATCAGAGGCACAGTTCCCTTAACTCAGAAATTACTTGCAAGCTCCCCCACCCTTTCTTACCTTTTTTTAGCAAGCATCGAGTGAGTCACTGCTGGCCCAAGGTTGGCGTGGAAATGTAATTGCCCTCGGTGGTTCCATATTTGGGCCCCTGTGCATGCAGACATTGGTTCACCTTGAAGGCTCGGCTTGCCTCCGAGAGAGCAGAATGACAGAGCACATAAATCAGCCTCCTTCACAGTGACTGATTTGTTTGAGTAAGAAGTTGTTTGCATAGTGGTGCTAGGAATTTAAAATACCTTTTTCTAGAATATTCTAGCACAGTGTTAATTTACTTCTCCATAATAGTCCTGCAGGTTTTTAGATATTCAAAACGAAATTATGTTCCAAACTTGGGTTTTTCCCCAAAGCTACTCTCTCTTATGTTAGTTAAAATTTCTGTGTAACTATGTTGGTGTTTCCTCCGGAGTTCTTTTCGAGGACTCTCTTTTATTTGCTAATCAGGGTAAATGTACACAGTCTTCATTCCAAATGAGGATGTGGTGTCTTCTGGAGATGAGCACACCCCCTCTTTGTGTACAGGCTACTTGAAAGACTCAATCTCATTTTTGAATGACTGTGCTTGCTGGTTGTGGGCAATTGCCACTCTTATTTGTATGAAACCTCGGTGACTGTTCCCTGGCAAGAGACCCCTTCGATCTTTGTGGACACAGTCAAGTGCCAGGCAGAGCTTTTCCTCCATTGCCATGGTTTTCTACGTCAATAACATTAGTACCTTGCTTACCAAATGAGTTGTATAGTGTTAATAGCTTTTACCACAACAAGTTTTAGAATAATGCTAGATACCTGACATTTTCCATAAGAAAAAACACACATTGCCCTTATGTATATATTTTCTTTGTCAAATGTGGTTTCTTTTTACCTGTGTCCGCCATGCTCTGTGATCTAACATATTTTCTCCTATCTGTATCCCTCTACACAGGACCCCAAAATCCTGGCTGCCCTCGAAGCTGTTGGAAAATCGGAAAATGATCTGGAGGGGCGGATAGTTTGTGTCTGCAGTGGTACAGATCTGGTGAACATCAGCTTCACTTACATGGTGGCTGAAAACCCAGAAGTAACTAAGGTAGCCCCAGTGAAACAGCCTCCCCCACCCCCACCCCACCCCCATACATATATA